CAGCACTCTCTAATTTAAAGCTGAATTGTATTCTTTCAGTTTTCTGTGAAGCCTTTGCTTTTATAACACCAAGATCCTGCTGCACTCCGGAGTAGCCTCGGTGCTAGGAGAGCAGCAATGTGTAATTTGCTGAGCAGCTAATAATGTACAAACCAAGGGTCTGGCCCCAAGGGCAAGGAGCCACTGATCCTGACTTCAAACAGTGTCCTCTGCAGCAACCCTGATGCTGAGAAGTGATTAAGGTTGGGAACAGAACCAGGAGGCCCCAGCTCTATCTCCCATTCTTATGAGCAATGCCATGGTGGGTGCAAGGGGTGGATTAGGGAAACCTTCATCTGGATGGAAACAGCAGCTGTTGCCTTTTCCAGGCTCTCCTCAAAGGAAAGGGGAGTATTTTCCAGGTGGTAATTTAACCTACTGGAGGATTCAAGGGGGAATGGGGGCTGTTAGCACTTTGCAGATGTGAAAAGAAAGACGAGTCTTTCTGTCACCACAACCCTGCGCGAGGTGTCATGGGTGATTTGACAGCAGAGAGTGAATTTCTTGTGCTGCTGAATTTTGGCATAAGGGTAAAGTGACTGTCCCCAGTGCCACAAGGAAGGGCAAAGGGAAGCTCTGATTCCTAGCTCACTGCTACAGCTGAGGACGGGTTTGCAACCAGCAGTGGGTAGTGCTGATTTATTCAAGGAAGAGGGAGAACATCCGCTTTTCTTGGAAAGGATTTTCCATATGACTTGTATACAGGCTCTGCTTAGCCCAAAGGATGTCCTTGAACCCTGGGGCAGTTGCAAGGCTGAGGATGCCTCATGCTTTGCCCTCTGGTTCTATTTGAAACAAGGTGCAGGGGCAGCATAGGCACATCCAGGGGGGCTGGGGAAGGGCTTGCAGGTCTCTGCTCATGGTACCAGGGGGGATGAATCCATCCTTTAACCACCAGACCATGCTGCATCTTTCAAAATGCTTTTGGAAGAGCATTTCTGAAGCAACTCCTTTTTCCTTCTTACTTTAAAAACTTTGGCTTTACTTTTAATCATTCCACAATCCTTTGTTTGCACCTACGCAGGTATATGTAGATACAGTTGGGTAGAGTTGTATGAGATCGGCTTAGAATGTGGGGAAAAGGTTTTCTGTGCCCAAAGGTTAGTCTGCTTTTTCCAATTATAGCACCCAGTCTACTAAGAGGAATACTTCTTCAGTACAAGCCTTATAACCACATGTCATTCAGAAAAGTTTAGCTAAGAATTAAACTAAACATCCAATTTGGCTGCATGTGTAATGAATAAATAAAGCCCTTTCCTTTCATGTCCCCGTGCCAAAGTCAACAAGCTCTATTAGCTGATGAAACAATGCTGACGCCAAATAAAAATACCCCTGACCCATCAATATGGGCTAAGAGCTCGGCCCTGCATCAAAGAGTGTTGTCAGAACAAGAACTACTGTCTCGACACCTCTGGGGGGGAGAAAAGGCTCCCACCCCTGCAGCCAGCTGGGCTCTCTGTGCTCAAATGATTTGGAAACCCCTTGAGCTATAAACCTATTCAAAGCTGGGACTGGGGCTTTGGTGTTTGCTTGCTCCCCACTGCACACCTCATGTGTGAATGCCCCACGAAAGCTGAGGATTTATTTCATCCTGTGTGCAAAATGCTGACACTTGAAAGTGAAATCCCCTAAGGTCCCTGCTAGGAATCAAAGATGCTTCAGCATCTCAGAGTGTCTCGACACCTGGGAGCAACCTGCCAGCTGTGCCATCCTCCTCCTGCTCCCTGGGAGGGTGTGGAGGAGAGGAACACCTTGTCTCTCCTCTGCCCCATGCAGACCGTGCAGCTTGGCCTGTCCTGCAAACCCCTCTCCTTCAAAACCCACATTCAGCTGCTCCATGCCATGCCCTGCATGTGATCTTTGAAGCCTCACCCCTCCCTTGACATCCTTGGTTAAAAGATCTGTTCCCTATTAGCCTTCAGTCACGCTTTTAGATCCATTCAGGCTTTTATTTACTTATCCATCTGTCTTCCTGCTGCCACCACTCCCCCTGCCCTGCCAGGAGGGAAAGTACAATTCATTTTTCAGGTGACCCTGCCAGGAAGCATTGACATGAATAGGAGCAGGTTCAGAAACTGTGGAAAAAGCAAAACCCTCGATTTTAATAAGCAGCAAAACACTTCCCAATCAGAAGGGAGCAGTCAGATGTGACTAGAATGGCTACAAAACACAAAAGACCATCCTCCAAATAATTCCTGCCATCCCCTGACACCTCCTCGTGCAGAAGTCTCTGTGAGCACTGCTCAGGGTGTTAAGTGCAGTGTGTGATCCCGTGGGCTGTGTGATGCTCTGGGTACCAGTACAGCCTCGCAGGACACACTCACTGCCTGACAAGGTCCTGACTGGCACCAGGACTCTGCTCCTCCACCTGCCCACAGCGATGCCCTGCACAGAGACACGGTCCAGCTCCCTCCTGTCTGTCTGCCTTGAGCATGGAGGGGTGTTTGTGTGCCTTTAGTTTTGATTTCAGCTGTCTGAGCAGTGCAGACGTCCTGCCGGGCTGCGCTTAATTCCGAGTAACGCGAGTTTAACTGCACGGACAGTCCCCTGCTGTTTTGAAAGACACCTAAGAAAGCAATATAGTCACTGTAAGAACTTCTCTGCTGGAAAGCCAGGCTCCTATGAGAACCCACCTGTTACAAAGAAATAATTAAAACCTGAAGAGAAAGGGTAACAGGACAGTGAAAGGCATCTGAGCTGGGCAGGGTCAGTGTGAGTCGCTCGCCCTCCCCTCTCACAGCCAGGGCCAGGGCTGGGAGGTTGTAACGATCCGTGGGCAGAGACATTGATTTTTGTCCAGCACTTCCTTAGTGCAGGGGCAGCAAAACTCTGCTCACATCCTCTGCGGGCTCTGCTCGCCTCTCCCTGCATGTCAATAGGTGTCAAGTCACCACCCAGGACCGATGGAAGGGCCATTTCTGGCTGATTCCACGTTCTACTGACCATAAGGGGATGCTCAGCAGTAAGTGGCCACATGTCATCCTCTGTAACAGAGGCTGGGAAAATTTACCTTGATGGCCTCCCAGCCCACACCACTCCAGTCCTCAGACTGGATCTCTCCTGCAGTCACCTCCTACTCTGTGCTCCGAGTGTTGGGTGCGTTCCTTGCTCACCTTGGCAGGGCTGCTCTTCCTCTGCTTCATTTTAACAACTCTTTAGTCCTCTGGAGAGGACAGTGCTGGTGTAAAATGGGGAACAAAGGGCCACGAATTGAGTGGGATTTCATAAACTTATCCCCCAAATCTGAACCAGTATCTTGCAACATATTATTCCTGTTCTTGATTCCTCATCAGGGGATTGCTCAGGGATGTTGCCATGAGTGCTGGCTTCTGTTTTGGGGGTGAGAGATGGGCCAGGCTGGGGTGAGACAGGGACAGGAAGGTAAATCCATGTTTTGTGTTTGTGTAGCTCTCATTCAGGGCCGTACATGGTGTTTGCAAGTGTTAGAGCACATGGCAGGCGTACACTACAAGGAAATACTGCCGGTGCCCGGAATAGAAAGATTTTAGCTCAGTATTGACTGAATCAAGAGATGTAGAGAGCTGATTGCAGTTTGTGTCTTTTGTTTCCTTGGAGGTCAGTGGAGCTGAGGTCTGGAGCATACTTAAGCAGAAAGGGTTTGCAAAGAGCTGCAAGCAGTGTAGTGGAAAGCAATCTGGTGTTCTCCTTTAAATCCTTCTGCAGCCAGTCAGAGAAATGGAAATACAGACTGACCCGTCAATAGTTAACGGTTTTATTTGCAACCTTGGACTTAATCTTTCTTTTCAAATGATCTTTTAAAAGGAAAAGCTGCTACTTATCTGGAATTAGTGGAAATATCTTCCCTGGTACTAATGAGACCCCTCAGGCTGGAGGGAACTGGGTGACTACTGGCAGCACGTTCTGATGGTCATAAATGTTTGGCAACACTCAGTATCAAAGCAGCATTTTTGTCTTGGATTTTCAAGAGGTGCCCTGAGCTGGCTGGGCCCAGGGTATTTCCTAGGGGGCAAACTGAGGCATGGGATATACAAGCCTGGATAGTACTGGCAATAGAAAGTGGGACTTTCTGCATTGACTTAGATGGAGAATTCCCCTCATCATTATAAGTAAAAAAGAATAAGATACTCTTTTAGAACACCTCATTGTCCAGTGGAAATCCTATCAGCGTGGGTTGGCTTGGTCCCCATGCCTTAAATGTGTGGTTGGACCACTCCTGGGGGACATTTGGGAGGGGGTGTAACTGTTTTGCTCTTTGCTTTGACCCCTGAACTCTTTAACAATGTAAAGCCTTGTGAATTATAAATCAAATGTT